GGCCTCCCTACAGAAATCCGGCCCACTCCTACGTCCCCTGTACTCTTCCTCCATAGCCCTAATCATAATGTACGGCCATCCCACCCAACCTTCCTGGTCGAAAATAGGCTCTTTGAGGGAGTTGATCTTGGCCCAGATTCACTTGCTGACAAACCCAATCGCCAACTACAAGAACAGGATTCCGAGAACGCAGGTGCCGAGTCTAGGTTTGTTGGTTGTCCAGACCCCCACCAGGCCCTCTCCAATCGCGGAAGTTGGGTTGCGGGATATGAAGGTTCGGGAGAGAGGCAAACAGTAATGTAGATAGATGTTGAGTCTGTTTAGGACGGTGTAAGCTTTTATCCGAAGTGTAGACTGATTGCCTGAGGAGTGGGGGGTAAGTGGGACCACGGTAGCGGCGGGGATAAGAGACTGTCAGTGCACCCAGTTATGAACTTGTTTTCTCAATTCAGACACTGGACCCACCCGAACCGAAGGGCAAAAGCTGTTATTGGAATCGCCATGAGGATTAGCAGGTAGGCGCGGGCTGTGTTTCTTCCCTCCAGCACGGATGAGCATTGCCAGTTGGTCAATTATCGAGATAAAGTTTTTGTCGTAGGCAGGATTGTGCACACTCCGGCGGAGGTCAAAGAAGATTTGGGAAATTGGTAGGTTTTGGGACTGCAGATGCATGGGAGGAGGAACTGGGGGAGTGTATTGTCGGTTTTATATTTAGTATATTGTAGTAGTTGGTAGGCATGTGTATATCTTCATGTGGTTCCATCGGATAAGATATGCAAGCTGTTGGGGATTTCGGCGGAGCTGGTCTCATTGCGCTCTGGTGCTTTGGGGGCTTGCGTATATGCTTCGTATAGAGAACTCCTATGTAACCGCTTCTATTGTGACCCTGATCTTGCTCCCTCTTCTCTCTATCCGTTTCCTATCCTCCACCAATCCAGTTACCATCCTCCACCAATCCACTTGCTATCCTCCACCAATCGGCTTGCTATCCTCCACCAATCGGCTCCAGATAGGCTCTTGTTTCTCTGTGAATCTATTGGTACATCACTTAACTCTTTATTACCTCTACCTATCCTATTTTTATCAGATTACGATCCTCCTAAAGTATTGCCTCTCCTGCCTGTAGGCTCTTAATCTGTGTTACAACCAGTTTCTTACCTTGTCTTTATCAAGTAGTAATTTATCTCCCACCCTCAATCGGAAAACTAAGGAGCTACCGGGAAAATGAACGGTATGTGGTCTAGTGGGAATTACCTAGGATCAGGTAATAGCGAATACATTGCTGGTGGGGCTCGCGGCAATCTGGCCTGTCCAACTCCCTACTATGGTGATGGTTATCATTGTGGTTCCCACCAGGTGTATCGATATGTGTTCCCACCGAGAAAATATTTGGAAAGAAAATTACCACCTACAATGGCCAAGAAACGTCCATCAACCCTCACAGACTTCAGAACTAAGAACAACTGCACCCAGCAAGGAATCAAATCCTGCGACCCAGACCTGCTATCAATCGACCAGAAACCAAATACACACGATAGGATGGAACCTAAGATGGAACTCGGAGACTTGAAGGGGAAGAAAATATGTGAACTGCGTGAAACCTTGGAAATCAATCTGAGTTTCGAAAATATTTCGGTAAAGGACATGGCGGATTGGATTATCGAGAATCCAGATAATAACAAGGAGATACCATATGAGTACAATCCCCTCGCCGAACGTTTTATTATAAAACTCATGCCACACGCCATCAGTGTTCCCAACCGTCCCGGGTGTCCAGGGCGAGGTGGGTAAGGACGGCAGGGCATGGCGTCCGTCTTTCATAAAGACTACCGTCCTAGGGGTGGACGCCCAGGCCCGGGAGTCTTAATACAAATGGCATCTTCCGGCCGTCCTCACCAGGGCCCGGCCGTCATCTGCAGGGCCCGGGCATCATTCACTGGGCCCGGCTGTCCTCACCAGTGCCTGGCCATCGTTGGCGCAGTCCGGTTGTCATGTATAGGCATTGCACACCCATTGTAGAGCCCTCTGGGTATTATGTGGGTGCTCGAATAATTGATCATCACCTCCGATAGTGAATGGTTATTTCATAGTAATTATCCATTTATAAAGTGATACGATATGATATGGATTAGGTGAATGAATATCAGCCCGGAGTGGGAGGTGCTGAGTTACTGTTATTCAAATATAAAACTTTGTTTTTGTGGTGATAATAGACTTACTATATTGAGAATAGAGTGTGCAGGTGAGACACCTATAGGGCCCGGCCGGCCGTCCGGGGTAGAGGTTTGGACGGACCGCCGGATGGCCATCCGTCCAGGGCAGAGTGTCAGAAACCAGCGTCCGTCCCGTCTTAAGCCAAGGACAGACAGACTGAACGCTTGGGAACACTGCACGCCATGCACGACTCGCTACAATCCTTTTTCACACAAACTGCCTTTGGATCTTTGGTGGAAAAAATAGGATTATCAGAAGCACATCGACTGATAAAGGTTGGTCCGGGGACTAGTATGTACAGAACCGATCCTTATCTAAACTCTTCTAACAACAGTGTTTAGGCTTCGAAGGTTTCAAAGGAAACTGGAGTGAATCGCAAAAGCTTCCCGCTGCATTCCTGATACTGTCAGGTATGGAGTTTCCGGTGGTGGTTTGCGAAGCTGGGTGGTCGGTAAATTACTATTGTCGGTTGATTTGCATGATAATGGTAGTGTGTACTAGCCGATATATTAAAGGTATCCGGACACCTTGGCACTAATTCGTATATGTCTTGGCGCCAAGGCGTCCGGATACTTTGGAAAACGGCTAGTAGAGGTACCGCGGCCACTCTAGACTCAAGCCTCTTGGCGGCTTGAGCCTGGCTCGAGCCCTCGAGTCCAAGGGTGCCTCGAGCCGGCTCGTGAACAACACTAGTGGTCGGAATCTCATAAGCATTTGCTGGATGATGTACGACTTTGGCTCCTACACATAAGCGGAGAAACAAAAGTAGTCATTGTATTGTCCTTTACTGCAACTAGTGCAAAGGAATCCACAAGGGAGCTGGTTACGAGCAATGAGGAGGAAACATTGGAATCTGATAGACAAGAGGCAATACTAGAAACCAACTCAGAGGAGCAATTGGTCATCCAAAGCATTGATGCGACCACCGAAAAACAGGATTTAGCAGAAAGATTATTTAACCTCGATCGACAAACGAAGTTACAAAAGCACCTGGTCCGAGATTTAAAGGCAACTCTATACATTTATCGTGCCTTCACAGACCTCAAAGATGTAGTTGGATCTTTCAATGCCACTATACTCCCATTTCCGGCAGATGATTTTACCTGCCCACGGCAGTTTCAGATCTCGTTCCAAGATATATTTGGTAGTTCTATACCTGACGGTTTGGATCCACTAGACCACATATATTCAACCAACCAGTACTTGAAGCGATTTTCCTGGGGTCAATTCCCCGCACTACCTGGTTGCGCGCGCATCAACAAGCAGAAAAATGTTAAAGGAAGCTGGAATCTGGAAGGGGAAAGACACATTCGCACCGCATAAGCGCCACCGCAGAGGTTAAGAGAGACCTCTTCTGAAGGGAGATTGTGATGGTGGTGGTTGGGGACTCAGAGGGGCATGCTGTGTTTTTAGAGAGGGGGTTAGAGTGTTATTCTTCTGGTCGTACTTTTCAAATTTGGCGTGTAATAAAATATCTCTTCTTTCTGCTTCTTCACCTCCCCTCTTCTATTATTGCTTGGTTAGTTAAACCTTGTACTGTAGGGGAGTAAATGTGAAGGTCCTGTCAAGTTACTCTCATACAAGAGCGATATGGATAAATGGGGGGGATGGGGTTTTTAGCGGTCAAATTGTGAATTAGATGAATAAATGGTGAATGCCTGTGATTACACTGAACTTATAGCAACATAGAATATTGCTTGTGTGGTTGAGCTGAGTGTTGTGAGGCAAAATTCATGATGGGCTGTTAGTTTTCCCGAGCGTGGCATAAAACAGTCCAACATATTGGTTAATACTATATTGTCAGAGATGTAAGTAAGGAGAACCATGACGGAACTTTCTATCATATCATAAACCGAGCAGAGCTCTTCCAGCAAACTACTAGTACTGAAATAGAATTATTAATACACTGCAGAAATAGCAATAAATCACAGCTCACGGGTGATAATCTATGAAAATATGTCACGACCACCGGGGGGGGAACCCCTTTGGTACCCTGGGTGAGAATCAGTGATTGAGGATGTTGGCGACATTTCAGACATATACTCATCGCTAGTGTTCCCGACACCTAGAACTTAGGAAATTCTAGCTATCCTCTACTCGGCTTACCAGAAGCACTTCTACATTCCTCTCCCCTCGCTCTATCTCTCAGACTTCCAAACATCCGTCCTGGCATTCACGTACGCCCCCACCCATTTGTGAAAATCCCCCCGGTCCAGCTCTATCCCCGGAGAATTCCGATTGGACCGATCGTTAAGATTTTGTCGCCATTGGGGAGTTGGCCCTACCTTGTTGGAAGGGCTTTGTTATCGCCGATGATACCCGGGGGGGAGGGAGGTAAATAGGAAATGGAAACAAAAGTGTGATTACGAGAACTTTGATTTAAACTGAACAACCAGTTCAAGCCATGCAGATTCCTCAGCACGGTGCGAGAGTGAATAATGCCATGGGGGTGCCGCATTCACCGCTATTGTACTTTCATCGTTCAATACGAAAACCTGCATTCACAAGAAAGATGTTGGTACGAACGGTTACCGATGGCACATGCCGCCTTGGGGGAGGGGACAAAGTGTCCAGTGCACTCTGATAACACCATTCCAAACTCTCCTCATCGCACCACCCAATCCGCGGAAAGGCAAGTACGATATCAGCAATCATCAACTGAACCCATCCAACACATAAGCACCTCTAATCACTATCACAAGGAATCACTCGAGACACCACCACGTGACCAACACTTACCACACTAGCATATATGTTATATGGGTGTAGGACTTGGCTTGGTACTCAGTTTCGTGATGTAGTTGGTTATTACATGAGTCTAATGCACTGGTGGTCTCCGGTTCGAGCCCGGCCAAAATCACACTCTTTTTCTCACTTTTAACACTCTTTTTTTTCCTTCTTCATTCACAGCGCCATCTATTTCATTGGCTCCAATCGGCTGCTCCTCAATTTATAAGGCTGGGGAACCCTTTAACAAGATGAAGAAACAGCAAGAGAGAGTGAGACTGGTCATTAATACAACTAATGACATAATTTATTTACACGAGTGAGAGCCTGTGACTAGTTATCCTCTATTATGATGATGACACCAGAAGTGGGGAAAAGGAAGAGAATGAGAATAAATGAAATCCATCGAGAAAGTTCCATTTTCCCAATCTCTGACCTCCCACCACTCATCCTCGGACGAGTTGGCATAGCAGTTAGTCCACCTTTGCACCGGTGAGGCGGCCTGAGAACTTGCCATGAGGTTATTGGGCTACCGGACGTTGGTTTTAGCAAACCTTTTAGCATGCTTGAGTTTTTTCTAAGAAGCCATGACAGGGATAGAGGATTTAGTTACAAGGTAATTCGAGAAGGATCCCAGAAAGATTCCAGGTGACGAGTTAGTTTATGGCGTGATACTAACAGAGTGTAATTCAGGGGGTCCACCCCTCTAGTGCACTTCTACCATGGGAACCAAGAACTAAAAGTATAGGGTCCATAGAGTTGATCTAAATCATATTAGTCAGACAATCGTATATCGAGAAATGAATTACAAACTTTAGATTTCAGTGAGAAGGCGCTTTGGGCTCCCGCAGTGAATCACCTCTACAGTGACCCCGACCTACAGCCTCGTCCCCCCCAAAAGCTTTCCCACCAGCCTAGCGATTTCCTCTGCCGCAATGAACCTCTTCCGCTCTGCCTCCGGGCGTTCCCTACTCCTCTCTGAAATATCACCAATGTTGGATAACGGAGACGGTGTTCCGGGTGTATGAGGCATGTTCATATGTTCATAGCTGCAAGGCTGGCCCCCATGGCGGCAGCTCAGCTACTCAATTCTCCCTCTATCTTGTCATCCGGAACAATCTTGCCGCTATCCTTCACCGTATCCTGATCGATGGCATATATTGCCATCCGAGTATCGCCATCTCCCAGAACCGTCCCAGTTGTCCACTCCAGGGCATGCTGGGCCTCCCCACTCAAATCCGTAGCAAAAAGATACTTTTGAACCCGCTTATTACCTTTCGCTGCCTCCTTGACTATCGACTCATATTACCTACGCAGAATTGTCCTAACGACACGTTGAGTATTCGGTGTAGAAGTGATAGGAGGAAGATCATCACCCTCTAAGTACGATGCAGATCGCGGGCGTCCGCTTCCGTATCCTAGGACATTGGCGTTGAGTTATGTGACAGTATGTCGAGATCTGTAGAATGACGCACACCCGATCATCTATTCTTTGTAGGCGATTTGCTCCAGGGATGCTGGCACACAGGGTAATCAATATAGAGGGCAGGAGGGAGAGAATACTATACCTAACACTCAGCCTTCCCTATCAGAAAAGCCAGAACCACCCCTAGAATGTAGGCAGGAGTACATACGTTCTTCCTCCGCAGGAGCCAGTAAACTCGTGCTTGTCCTCCACAAACCAATTACCACCTTCCTGGCGTCTATTTCACCTCATTTCTTCTTTCCCTTATCCCAGCCCCGACCGGAATCACACAGAATCCTAATCACAATTTGGTCATACCTAGAGCTTCATCTACTGTCTCCTCCGTTTATGCGGTGCTACTTTTACGGCTGGGGCCGGACCATTTCTGAGCGCAGTGGCCCGCTCTCTCCTCTCCTCTTCCTCACTCACAGGAGAATTTGATCGAATGCTTTCCTCGAAACTACTAGTTTCGTCTTCATCAGAGGAATCAACCACCGCATGTTCATCGACATCATCCTAGTCCCCCTGAAATCTCACACCCCCTCTGCGCGTCAATAGCTCCCCAGTGCCAGCCCCGACATGCCCCCTCAAAAGTGGTAATTGGCCTGTGCTCTGGCAAGACCCACAAAACTCCCCCTGATCGCTCAGGTGCGCCATCTGGGAGCTTGGTAAAGGCATGTTCTAGATGAAGTAGGACACCCGCATCGTTGGTTATTTGGTTAAAGATCTGGTTGCGAGCAACCGGGGGGAGGAGAGGCCAGTCATCCAGAAGAAGGTCGCGAGGGTGCAGATCCCTGCATGTGATGTAATGCGGCATTTGATATTGGTGAAAGCGACCGCCTCCCCGGAGGCCCGACGCCGCCATGATGCAAAGAGGGCTGGGCAGGGTCATTCTAAGAAACTTGCGTGGCTTGTTCGGGGTGGATGGGGAAACCGAAGGGAGGACAGCAAAATTGGAGGCATCAATTGGGGTTAGGGTTAGGGGTGTCATGTGGTTTCGCGGTGTAGTTGTATCTAACACCACGATTTCTGGTTGAAAAGCATTGACTTCTCACCTACTAAACCCAACTTAGCTACTAATAGTGGCGGCCGAGCTGCATATCTCCTCTCCCTAGACTGCTGCTCTACTTTTACTCCGCCCCGGAAACCCGGCAGGCTCTCCCAGAGCTGAAAGGCAATCCTGTAAGTTAGAGCGCAATAAAAAGTATAGACAAAGATCCGAACCTTGGCATTCGATGCCCTAGAGCAGGTTGACAAAAATTACGCGGACCATTCCTACTTCCTAGAATAACATTTGAGGACGGGGAGAGCGTTCGGAAGCTGGCGGATAGTCCTCCACTCATTGGGTTCATTCAGCAATGGATTCGGATTCCCTATGGGAGGGCACAGTATCTATTACCAGCGCCACCCCTCTCTTGCGCTGAGAACTATACTCATCAAGATCACAAAGCATCACTCGACAAATACCTATATTCCAAGCAAAGCATCGCGAAGACACTGCGCCGGCTCTGGCCGGGTGGATGACAGCAGGTTTGTGTGGCTGAATACAGGAATATATGGAGAACTCATCAAATTTAATACTATTGTAGGGTGCTCCGGGGGAGAGAACCCAACGACAATATTCCAACCAGGAGCGGATGATTGCCAAAGCTACCATCTCCAGCCAGCCCCACCATCGACAGCACTTGCCCGCGCACCCCTCCGGAGCGCCAACGCACCGGTATACGTCCCCCCGTTCTCACAACTGCTGGGCAGGTGATGGAAGAGGTTAGTGGATTCGGGAGTAGTGGGGTTGGTGGTACTTTTTCACCAATAATCACTCGACTTTTTCAAATGATACCACCAATAGCTGCTGCGGTTAACACTTTTTGGAGCTAGGTAAATAATTTACAAAAATTAAGAAGCCCCATATATACACCCCACCCACTGGTGGCCTATGCTCCAAATATGAAAAAATAATTACATTGCGAGGGCAAAACTACGATTGCACCCCCCCTCTCTCGTCGCCTCCTACTTCTTTTTTCGTGTTTGCACCCCCGGCTGCATCATTCCCCTCCTCTCTCTACGCATCCTAATCGTTTCTTCGAGCATCTCCCCGGCCCCATTCCCCGCCATTGCCTTCTCCTGCAGCCCCTTTCCCTCTTCTTGTGCACCCTAACTATTTCGAGATGACTCTCTCTAGCGTCCCGCTTCCTCTGAAGCCCTGCGGCCTTTCCGGCCTCCTTCACCTGGTTCTTCGCCTTCAGGAAGGTGGTCGTCTTATCCTTGGCAATAGCGCTCACCCCATCGCCGTGGGGGTCCTTGATTGACAAACTTTGACATTGTCTTTATGTTTCGGCTTGCGCGAGCTTTCACTCCAAGCGCCCAAAGATAACCTCACCCGCTCTTCCTCGCGTCTCTAGACTTCAACTCCCCAAGGCTCTGGGGAACAGCCCAGCGTTCGATGGAGCCCATCGCAGTGCATATGTCGAGTATAATGTGCGAGTCGCGTGTGATAGGTAGGAGTATGACCAGTGTTCGCAACGGGGCAGTCCGTCCGTCCTGAGGGTAGGACGAGGACGGACTACGAATCGTAGACCGTCCGGTCCTGGAGGGAATTTTGCCCGGGGCTAATGGCCGGAGGACGGGGAAGACCATAGGCCCCACAACCAGTTTCAGAATGTCTCAGAATCTGAGGCCAGACAGATCCCCGCAGATCCCGGGAGACCCCCACAGATCCCCACGGTCCTTGGCAGGGATCTGCAGTCCACTACCGTCCCCTATCGTCCTTGTAGTAGGACGGCACAATAGTGTCTCACCTTGTCGGGCTCGTGGTCCTCGCTCAAACCTGCAGTCCTAAAACGTCTCAGGACGGGACGGCAGTGTTCCCAACCGTCCCGGGCAGGGTGGATGAGGACGGTAGGGCATGGCGTCCGCATTTCATAAAGACGGCCGTCCTGGGGGTTGACGCCCGGGCCCTGGAGTCTTATTATAAATGGCATCTTCCGGCGGTCATATGCAGGGCCCGGCAATTACCTACAGGGCCCGACCATTACCTACAGGGCCCGGCCGTCACCTGCAGGGCCCGACCATTACCTGCAGGGCCCGACCATTACCTACAGGGCCCGACCGTCACCTGCCGTCACTGGCAGAAACCTGGAACATCCCACATCTTTAGAAACCTGCAGGGCCCGCCCGTCCGTCCCGGGCATCCTCCCATGCACTGCCGTCCGTCCCGTCCACGCTTGAAGACGGACGGACTGGACGCTTGGGTTCACTGCGGGACGGCGCTAAAATTGTCGTCCGGTCTGGTCCAGTCTTCTTGGCAGTTTCCCTGCGGGGCCGCCTGGCCCCTAGACCGTTGCGAACACTAAGTATGACGCGCGGAAGGGTCTAACTGTAATTACAGAATTGTTACATTGTGTACGGGCTCCTAATTGGCGTATCGGGTTCACCGTCGAAGGCGGTTATGCCAAAGCCGTCTATCGTTGGATTAATCTGGGTTCTTCGTGTCAACGCGGCGGTCGATGCCACGACGGAAGGCGACATATGAATACTTGAGATCCTCATGGTCCTTTTTTTCTTTTTGGACGACTCATCCATGAGTCTCTCCAGATAGCCGGGGAACTCATAGCGCCGAGAGAAGCGGTAGTAATCTTTGCGGTTGGTGTCGTCCGTAGGGCCAGAGG